TTCAGCTATTAGACGAAGTGCTAAATGAAGTGAAGTTTCAGCTTCTTGTCGAAGATCTATTTAACGAGAAAAAAACAACAACAAGATTTTATGGATTATTAGAATTTATAAGATGATCGTCCTTCATTTTTAAAATAAACCTATACCGTTTTGAAGAACAATTCGTCACACATGAAATGGAATATATAAAGTTATATTTTCATTAAGTTTAAACATTCCGAAAAGCTTTTATGGTGTTTTAGTATTGTAGATACTGCTCGTTAGGACAAAAGTGACCAGTCGTGCAATTTTTTCTCAGGATATGTGTGCTATCAAGCTTTATAACTATATCAATTTATTTTCCTTTAAATTGAAGCGTGTAATATTAACACCAGTATATCAGTTTCTAAAATTCGAACCTCTGGAAAGTGCTACGGAGAATCTTTAATTTATTACACAGGTTCGAATGCGAAACATTTTCGAAAGATTCGTATATAACAAAGGATAAAACGTAATGAGTTTATTATTATTAGGTAGAACATTTTTCATTTAAGAAGTATTTACAGCAAAGCCGATAGAGAGTTTTATCTGAAGGAATCAACAAATTGTCGTTTTTTATGAATTCACATATTGGAAAACCAAACAAAGCTCTATTAAAATAGTTTTAAACAAAATTTTATATAGATTGGTTAGAGACGTACTGAGTGATAATATCCGGTCATATACTATAATTTCTTATAACTGATATACAGCTTTGTAAAATATTAAAACTTGATAAAAATGAAACTTTCTATATACACCATATAATGCTTCCGGAGTAGCAGCTCTAGAAGATGGTTTAGGATGATTTTTCAAAGGAAGGATAAAATCGTGTTATTCAATTGAATCCTTTACCACTGGAAATATTTTTTTGTTTTGATGGATCTTTCGTATATTTTCGTTTTGTATTTAAAGATTTTTCTTGTGAATAATGTGTTTGTAATTCATGATTTTGTGGTGAAGAACATCGTAAAGATGTTATATCAGGTGGAAAGAAAATATGACTGGATGTAAATAAACTAAGTGATGATGATGATGATGATGATGATGATAATGATGATGATATTGATGATGGAGAAGTTTTAATAAATAAAATAGGTATTAGAATATTAAGAATAATGGAAGTTATAAATGAGAGAAGAAGAAAAAGACACATTGTCGTAAGAGATTGACGAAAATCGATTGAGCGCCATCGTTCGACAAATCGATGAAGAATGCAAAATTGGATAATACGAGAAATTAATGACATTTATTGCTGAAGTTTTCGATTTTTTAGTTGAAAACATTATATATAATATATAAAACTGTTAAATTAATTAATCATATGAAAACTATTTAAATAGTTTCATGGATCTAGAAAACAAAACAAAAAGAACCATTTGTTATACAAGAAATAAATCGTTTGACTATTAAACTACTTTAATAATCATGAAAACTTAATATCAGATAATGCTGCTTTGTTTTTGTTCTCTTATATAGAACGATTTTTTTAATTTAATAACAAAATTTTATAAAGAAAAACTATGAAGTTTTATTCGTTTTTTGTTGTTCAAATAATTCTTGTATTTGTTGTGTTGCTGTCATTTGTGGATATTCCATTTCGATAAGATCTTTATCTGGATATGTTTTTGTTATTCGATTAATTGGTTTATTAGTAAATGGTGTCCATGTACCTTGTACTGATGGAGAATCTGTATGCATTTGTTTTAATAATCTCCATTGTGGATCACCTTGTTGTGTTAATAATGAATTTATCCACCAATTAACTTCTTCTCGTTTACAATTCGAAAGTGGTATCCATTGACGATCACCACTTAAATATTCTCCAATTAAATTAGGTGCACGATGACGACGTGGTTGAACATAAACAACAACATATGGATGTTGACGAGCAAATTTCATTAAATCATTAGTAATCCATTCTCTTGTACCATAAGATGTAACAAATTCTTTACATACTTGTATAGTTAATCGTTGTAATTGACAAACATAACGAGAACCAACACCATTCTTAAGATGAGTTGAAATATATTTTGCTGGTGTAATATCATCAAATGAATGAAACGAACGAATCGATTGAATAGGTATTGAAATAATACGCCGAAGCAATTGAGACATCTAAATCAAGAAAGATGAATATATTTTAGAAATTCAATTTTATTTTTATTATTATTCTACATTTATTATGTGAAAAATTGTCGGGTGTGCGTGTATGAATAGGTAACAATAATATCTACTAATGGTGAAAAAACGATCCATCAATTGAAAGATATCATAGAGGACGCTAGTCATTGTAACGAAAAACTCAGCCTTTAAACAAACAAAGATTTGAGTCTGCCTACAAACAGTTGACATCAGTGTTGTATTCAGCATAGATGCCACATTTTCATTCAAATAACGAGTTTGTGATTGCTGTATCACATACCATTTGTTTGGACTCTTAATAAGATATGTTCGTCCTGTCATACATTTTAATTGCCTCTCCGAAAGAAAAAATCTCTATAGATAAAATACTGACTAGGGAACCTTCCAAGGTGGGAGAGCGCTTTTCAATCGGGATTTCGCGCATCTTGTAGCCCATAGTGTGCTATGTCTATGGTAAAAAGAAGTTCGGGTTTCTGGCTTGTTTCTGAGGAGATATCGAGCTCTTAGTGAATTTTCTCTATAGTACACCTACATTGGCAGCAAAGCTATACTTTCGAATTTTGACCTGAACTTTTGCCTGCATAAAGACCTCAGCTAGACTAGTTTGCATAAAAAATTTCAGAAGTTTTGAATAAAGTCTCTCAAAGATATGAAGCTTTGAAAAAAATGCATACTATATACAGTGGATTGAAAAAATAATTGCCGTTAGTATTTGATATAGTTACTCTACTGAACATGATGAATATTGAAAGTTTTTTTATAAATAGATTATACATACACAAGAGTACACAAATATNCATTAGTGTTATGAGAGCAACTTTTCTTGATTATTGTTTCTGTTCTCAGAAAAAATTTGTTGTTCTCGCCCGTATATTCTCTTTCTCGGAAAAAACTTGTTATTCTTGTTCTTACACTCTCATTCCCAGAAAAAAATTTATTTCCACTTCCGTAAGCAGAAGCGTCAACCAGTTCATAGATCGGTGGTGTGTAAATGTGATTTTATTTTTTGTCTGTCGGCAGCGACTGAAAATACTCAACTTTTTTAGTCCGTCGGCGGAGGTGGGTGAATTTGTTAGACGATTTCTTTAAGATTTTCTTATTTCCGAGAAATTATCGGATGGAAAAAGAGAAAACAATGGTAGAGAACACACTGATAGAAAAAACTAGACAGAAACATCGTTAAAGAGTGATCTCAGGCGTCGAAAAATCTTCAAAACTGTTAATTCTTTTGCCTCGCCGGCAACGGCGACTCAGCTCGTCGATTTAATCGTAAGACTTCAGGAATTCATATTCCTATTTTATTTTTAGATTTTAAGATAACCTTGACACGACTTCAAATTAAAAATATAATTATGATTGGAGCTACGGTAGGGTAGTTACGTAAAAATAAAAAGCTGCTACATACATGTATCTGAATATGTATGCAAATACGAGAAAAAATGCGGGAACACCAATACTTAATGGAGTTCCCGTTGCCATAAGAAATGGAGCGAGAAAACGACGAGTATAGAAAAATATTCCTGCGGAACAAAATCTTTTCAACACAGTAAAAACATTCATAATGTAATGTCGTTTTTGTGAACACTGCTGCTTGGACATTATTTTGTTTTTTAGCACAGCAGATGGAAAACAATTCTTGCGAGAGTTGAAAGTCAATGAAGATAATCATCGACATGTTTTCTTAAATGCACATTTTTTGACACATAAGTTGCAAATGCTTTTCTTATCTCTATCAGCGTCATACATTACAACATACGAGTTCGAAATGAGAAACACTAACTTTGTTTCATCAAGATGACATCAAAAAAATTGGCTTACTCCATATTTTTAATTTTCTGGTGCGAATCCTGCAAAAAATTGTTGAGCCTACCCTAGATCCAAAACGTTTTGCCACCTATGAACATGGCCATATTTTTCTGAAGACGGAATTTGTTTCAATAGGTCTGAATTATTTAAAGCATAACTATAGAACTTTGTACAACTGAGATGATTATTCATTTAGTTCCTCATTATGCACCAATAAGATTGCACTTCAAATCGTTTCTATTGTCAGCCTACAAAAATTTCATGTGGCTGAAGGTCAATTCACAAATAGCATTCTAGGTTGATATAGAAAAAGCGAACTCAACTAGTTTTTGTCCATGAGGTACATTTTAACCCTCAAGAAGATAAGCTCACAAATAAACGCATGTTATCAGGCATAACAAGCAGAAACGACGTGTTTTCTTATTGTCTATTGCATCTATGAAATAGTGTGATAGTTCTCTTTTTCTTTGTCTTATTGATTCAAAATATCACTACAATTCAACGTGACAAAATCCTTTAAAAAACCAGGAGAAACCAGGAGAAAATCATAAAAACCAGCTCCTGGATTCAGGAGATTTTTTCACCAGGAGAAAAGTCTAAAAATCAGGAGTCTCCTGGCTAAATCAGGAGATTTGGCAGCCCTGATCCTATTGTCGGATGTCATCGGATCCTATTGTCGGATGTCATCGGATCCTATTGTCGGAATCCGGCATCGGAAATCGTCGGAAACTGTCGGATAGTTTCGGATCCGATAGGATCCGACAGGGTGATTTCGACCTGGGTGGAGTTTATTTTGGATCTCTTTTCTAGCATTATGTACAAAAAGAGGAAGCGCATGATATATCGCATGTCATGAAATAAGAGAATATTTGTCTTAGAAGAATATGCTTCAACTAGTATTACAGTGAGTTCATTGCCTTTTTATTGTCGCGTTCTTTTCTAGATAAAAGTGAACAAATTTTATCCGATAAAATTTCAGTTAGTATATATTGAAAATGCCCACTGAAGAACAAAATTTAGAAGAAAAACGGATGAATAATCTGCATATTTATGCTCTGTTGCGATCGGATAAACCAGACGACTTTGATCTACAATTATTAACTGATAAGGAGGAAAAAAAGTTGTTATTTAAGCGTATCGCCAATTTACAAGCAGAAAAACCTGTTGTTGGCGGTCTACCATATTTATACTATTTGGAATTCACGAATGAAACAGGTAAATACGCACAATCAATAACTTCATACTACTTAAGAATATCAGCTGCTGGCACCATATCAAATTGGCATTATCAGGAAGACAAAGAATTACGAAAACGACAATGGTTTGATGTAAATGCTGTGAATCATCAATTTCTGCTGTCTGTAGATTTTCAGCGAGGAACCTGGAGGACAAAGCCGCCTTGTACTAGTGTTTTATATTGGGACCAATTATGGCAGTATACGTATTTTATAATTCAACAAAATGATATTGATCTATTCGATCGATTTATTGAGCAATTTAGTATAACATGTATTGATTTTTCACAACCAATTGACGTCGATTTGTTTTTTCAACAATGTTTCATATATTTACCTACTATTCGCAACGTTTGGGATGACATCGTTCACGTTAGTATTGTAATTGTGCGTATGATTGGATTATTAAATATTGGTCAAAGACCACTACAGAAACAAGAATCAATTGCCTATATTGATATGTTGTTACAATCAATCTTAAATAAAATTGAACCATTTTTCAATTCTATAAACGAGAACCATTGGTTATTAGTAAAAGATGGTTTAACGAACTTACTCTCTCTCAAGTTTCAAATATATGCTGCATCACAAAAAAATGATAGTATAACATTTATTAATCTGATACCGCACACTCATCAATACCAACAACAAGTTGCTGATAGTGTAGCAAAACAAATAACATTATCAAATATTAAACCAACACAGCCGAATTGGTTAGATTTGTTCAAAATGACGACAGATGACCATTTAATACTTGAGTGTTTACAGTTAGCAAATACATTCAAAGAATATATAAACTATGCTGAAAGACTTTTAAATTCGAAAACCATACAAAATATAAAAGAACATATTTCTGATAATTTAAAAGCAATGATCCGCAAAAATCATTTTGAATTAACATTTGAAAATATTTTATTTTTGTTCAAAACGTTGAAAACAGATTGTAAAGATGATTTACGTAATATTTTAGAACAATCTGAAGAATTATCTTCATACATTGCAAATTATTTGAACATGTTACGAATTACTGATAAGAATCAATTACGTTCACTATATCAAGTATTCAATGAATACTACAATCCATATCTACTACGTTACATAGGAAAAACAAGCTATATCAGCAATATTCTGAAGCAACATAATTTTGTCGAGTCACGTCTTCTAACTGAATTTCATATCGAATGGTTCAACTGTTTCCTTTGTGATCCACATTACACGAATTCAGATGAAGAAGCAAGCAATTTTCGATATTTCTTAGACAATTGGTTAAAACAGTTCACTCATCATCTTCCAGCTTATATTGATCTTATTAAATCATTAGATATATTAATTCCGATGTTAGAAAATAGTGAAAATAAAAATAAAACGTCAACATCACGTGTAGATATATTTATTGAACAAATATTATCCAGCTACACTAAAAGGGAACCTGATATGATGAAGAGGGTAAACGGCATTGGGCTATGTGTGAGCAACAAAAAACTCTTAAACGCCTTTAAACTGCACTTCAAAAATAATGTTGTTCTGACAAATTCATACAGGATGAAAATAATGGATATTTATTCGCCATTGTACCTACTTTTGCAAAATGCAAGAAAATATCCAAATATTAAACTAACAATAGAACTAATGGAAATATGCACTGATACAATAAAACTAGAAGAAATTAGCATTTATTATGGGGCTCTAATAGACCCAAATAAAAACTCATTTCTTTCTTTCGTTCTGTTTGATCCATATTTTCAAAAATTTAATATTCATCAAACTGTAGTCAACGAATTAAAAAATATATTGAAAACAAGGGAAGAAAAAGGCATAAGGCTTGAGGATATCAATTATTCAAAACGTTTTACAGAAGCTCAAAAAAGACAATTTGATAAGATATGGCAATATGTTCAAAAATTTCGTGGCCAACAACCATCAATGGCAATATTATTGAACAATGCACGTAAAGAAATGGAAGAAAAATCAAAAATTAAAGAAAAAGTTCAAACATGTTTAAAAATGTACTGTGAAAAAGCAGATGACATTCAACAATATCAATTAATAATAGACGATTTAACACAACAATTAATAACTAATGCTATCAAATCCATTCAGATACCTAATGAGATTTTAGGATTGGTGCCATTTGCTGATGTGTTAAATCCATACAATTCGTCAAAGGCATGGCTTTCGTTTCGGCAAAATCAACAGAACAGTTGTGATAAAAGTAAGCTTGATCAAAGTTTCGCCAAATATAAATACGATTGTTAGGTGATCAGACTACGGTATTCATTTTAATGAACGGATTTGATAAGCGTTCATAACTTTCTTAAATTAATACTGCTCGTCTACTTGTTCGTTCTACATTCCTTTTTCAGCATTATTTTCCATCGTTATGCAAAATAAGATTACTATTATAATGAACTACAAATAAGAAGAGGTTTTGAACAAACTTCGTTTTGTTATTAGTTTTGAGGCTCAACAATAGCAACAGAAAAATTTGGAAAAGTCTCGGATAGTGAACAGCTCCACGAACTGCTATCTCGAGACAAAGCCCTGCGGCTTGGCTCTACTCGATCTGACCAGAAGTTCGAATCATGCTAGGGTATGATCAAAGATAAAGTCGAGTTCGAGTATTTGTTTATGCGTATAGTATTCTTATTTACACAACAATATTCAACATCTTGAATAATCAGTTTTATTGCCCGTATTGCTTGAGAGAAGAAAGCTGAAACAAGCAATTTAGCATGATCTGTTTTCTTCTTGTTAAAAATAAAAAACTTCTAAGTACGACTTCGAGGAGAAAATAACTCAATGTAATAATTCTTTGCTGTGCTAAAACTTGAATTTTCACTGTCATCGTTGCATTGAAATCTTTGTAACCCACTATAAAAAAGTTATGGCAGTATATGAAAGTATGAACTATTATCTTCTATGTTCTCCCTTCCTCTATTTCATATTCATGCATGATCTGATCTGATCTCTTCGTCTTTTCTGTATCCATGGTCAATGTTGCTGCTACGGTCGGTTGTTCTATTTCCATTGTGAAGATCACTTCATCTCTCGTTCGAAGTAAAAAGAAACGCTCTCCTCAACAAGTCCTAGGCATAGAGAACTATTTGATTAATAATGCCTCAATTTTGTTTCCACGGACAACCCTTTGATTACAACATCATCAACAGGAAAACTTAGTGCCTAACAGTGTTATATAAACTATCCCATTTAAGTTCGTATCTGATAATGAGTTTTCATTACTAAACAATAATGTCGTTCGAACATTTCTTCAACATATATAATATATTTTCACGCAGCACTGCCAAGCATTTCTTGTCAAAGTGTAATTGTATTTTAAGACGGTTAAATATTTCCCCTCGATGACAACGACAAATTATTTAAGAAAGTGATTTTTCCATAAATTTGTGGGAGATCCGGTACGTGTCAAGTGATACATCTTGATAGCATTGAGATCATGGATTGTTCTTTCAATGATCTTCGTGCTCAACTACTTGATCACATGCCGAAGAATTCAATAGATTTTCAGCACTCTACATCTTCTCCGATATCATATCATTGATTTCATATATAAACAATTATATGATTGTATTGGTTCATATTATGGTTGAAGACTTACAAGAAAGTTCGCCGCAGTGTTGATATAGCCCTACTTACTTTGTTTTATAATTAGAATACGAATATTGATTTTTGACCAGGAGGATTCGAATCATGAATTGAACCATTTTTATCCCTTCTATACACTCGACTATGCACGTCAAAATTTGTGTTAATGCTCCATTCTTATCATTTGTATAAGTAGCAGCTCAGTGATCTTAACTGTTTGAGAGTGACTGTGTGAAGTTGGATAAGTCTTCTTTTCCTCTACACCTTCATCTTCAAATAGTTCTAAAAAATCATTCTTGACTGCTTTTTCGAGTCGGTTTGAAGTCAAATTCGGATAAAAGCCTCTGACAGATTTCGAGTTTGAAAGGTCTAATTGTTAGCGGGTGTTTCGATACAACTGATCGATAATAATAACTGCAACTTTATTTTTCCAAAATAACCGTTACATATACTAACGAAGTAGGAGAAAACTTAAGAACACTTGGAAGAGGACACGATGAATTGAAAAATACCTATGGTATGTCAAGAGAAGAGAAGAAAAGGAAAGGAAAGAAGATATACATGTATATTGTACATGTCATCAATGAACAATAGCACAACAGGAGAAAAAGAGAAAAGGAAAATATCAGATATAAATGAATCACTCTATAACACTAATATACGCAGGACTCCACCTTGAGAGAAACCTAGGGATATAATTAAAAAAAACTAACACTTATTTGATTATGTGATCGAATAAAATGCATATCACATTATGCTGAATTTCCTATTAAAACCTTGTTCAGTAGAAAGATTGACTTTGATTCGTAGTAATAGCATATTTCTAGTTGAGATATGATTTTCTTGTTACAGTTTTCATTCTCCTAGTTCTGCTGTAATGCATAAAAGAAAAGAGTCTGTCAGATCTGTGTGAAAGATTGAAATCTTATCTCACTTTCCTTCATCCCTATTCTCTTTTGGAAATGCATATAAAAATATTTTTTTTAGACAAGTCAGTGGACAAATCGGTGAATCCTGAAAAACAACAAACCTCTACAGAGGTACCAATCAATTCATGTCTCGATATTTTGCAAAAGACATGTGATTTATTCCAACATTTTACGAAACATCTTGAATCAATTTCAAAACAATGGAAAACTATTCCAATTCAAACAATAATTATGACTTTCAAAGATATTGATTTGATTGAAAATGAAATGCAATTATTAACTAGTCTTTTAGAACCAAGCGTAATTCCACCTTTAACTTGCATTCTTGATTATTGGAGAAAAAAAGATAATGTTCATAAATTGTGCAAAGGATTTGATCATTTGGTAAAATTCTATAATTTATCAGGTGATTATAAATTTTTGTCAGTATTAGATAATATGACTGAAGCCACGAATGGAGATATGTGTTATATTAATTACCAACAATTCCAAGAAGGAACTTTTAAAAAATACTCTGAAGAAGTATTAACTGTCTGTTTACATTATAATGATTCAAAAAAGCTTGTTGATTTTGTTGAAAGATTAAATCGAACTGATATGGATAATTTATTAGAAGCTGTTAATGATTGGGATGAATCGTTCATTACAACACAAACGATTATGGATTTTGTTCAATTAGGACGCTTTCTTACCAGTATTAATAATTATAGCAGTATTATTGGACAAACATCAAAAACGCTAAATAATATTTTATCATATATCGACACATTATTAAAACAAAAAGAATATTCATATATAATCAGTTATTTTCAAACATGTTTACCTGCATTACCTGGTATTCAGCGATTATATTTGGAACTAACTGATAAAGAAGAATCGAAGCGCACAAAAATATTTCATATTATTAATAAGTCATCATTAAAAATTACTGAAGCATACCAGCAATATCTTCAACAGGATAACTCTAAGAAATATGATGTATGTGTAAAAATAGACAAGGGAGGACAATTTAATTATTATAATTTACATGAATTAAGGGATAGAGCAAGATTAATAGAATATTCCGGTAATGAAAGAAATGTGCAACGAAAATATACAAGAGAGCAGGAAATACAGTTTTTACGATGTTTTGTATCATTGGTTGATGTTACTGAAAATATGTTGGGTAATTTAAATCATTTGAATGTTATGGGTTATCCAGCAATTGAAAAATACTCAGAAAATGAATATAAATGTGTTAAGTGCGATTTTTCAGAATTAAATCAGCTGAATGTTTCATTGAAAAACACAGTTGAACTATGGGAAGGAAAGTTAATTGAATTATACAAATGTTATCCAGAGTTAACTTATCTATCAGGAAAACAGTTTTGGACTGTTGAAAAGGCCTTACAAAATAATAAAGAACTGAAATCACAAGATCAAGATTATCATTTATTAAAATACATTGGAATTGAAAATTTTTCTTCGACGAAATTTATTATAAATGAAAATTTAAAACCGGAAGAAAGGTTAGAAATTCTTGGAAAAGTCTTAAATGAACAACGTAGATGTGTAATAAAACCGTTATCCGTATCTGAAAATTCAATCTCTCCAGACCGTCAAGGAGGAAAGATTTCCATAATTGAAACATCAATTGAAGGTAGATATAGAGCAATTTTATCTCTATTTCATCATGATAATAGTGATCCTGCAGTAAATCAAATATTATTCTGTACAACAGAAACAAACTGGATAGATGTTCGAGCTTTTTTCTATCGTTGTTTTTATTCATCATCTAATTTATATCAATTAATTGAACCTGAACGATTGGAATTTAATATACAAGACAAATGTTGTCAATTGATAATTAAACTAGTTGAGAATAATCCATCACATAAATTTAAATTAAGTATAATAACAACTGAAATTCAAACTCATCTTATTAATGCAATATTACGCATGGATACAGCTAAAACTGTACGTGATAACGAATTATTAAATGAAGATGACCTAAAAAAATATGTAAAACAAATAGTGAAAAATTGTCATCTTGTGTCATCAACAATGGCAGGTTTAGGTAAAACAACATTCATTCAAAACCATGCACAAAAGTTCAACCGAAACTTGATTAAATTTCCTATTACGGGTGATTCGAGTTTTGATCAAATTGGTGAACGGTTGTTATTAATTACTACATCAAATGCAATTCATTTTGATATTGGTTCAGTAGAAAATATTAATTTATTAAACTCTATTCTCTTTTGTTTATGTTTATTTCGTAGTTACTGTTTTTCACAAACAGTTATCTATTTACCAATGAATACATTATTTTATTTTGAATTAGAATCATCACCGTTTTTCAAACTAAATCAAGATATGTTCATATTTCGTTATTTAGAATCAACAGAAATCGATGAATTTAATTTGAATAATGTTCGATATGGAGAAACACGTTTACTTTATGTTACACGTTATTTATATGCTATTGACAAGAAAATAATTAAAGATAAAGAAATAAATATTATTTCTGAACAATCAGTAACTAATAGTATGTGTATTGACTTATTGAATAAATACTTTATTCAAAATAAAGATAAAAAATATTTATCATGGACACAATTGAAAATATTTATTAATGTATTTTATCATTTGTTTAATGGATTTTCAAATTGCGGATATTTTCGTGTAGATGCGCTACAAGAACCAAAATTACGAATGGATATTATACAAACGTTTCTTAATTCCTCAAATCAATTTACATCAATATCAGTTAAATCTGTACGTGAAAATCAAGTGATATTAAAGAACGGTGAACAAATTGACGATCTTTTAAATAAATCAATTATAAGATGGGATACAACACAACCATTCACTGTTGTTTTTACACATTCAAATGATCCATTATTTGTATATAGAGCCCCCAAGGATGTTCCAACATCATTACAATTATATTTCAATGCTCTGTCAAGAAAAAACAATCGATGGTTAGCAAAAGGAACAAATGATATATTTACTGATTATAATCAACTAGATCATTTGGATCTTTTCTTTAAATTAGTTTCATTATCGATCAAATATTGGAATAAAGCAATATGCAAACAATGTTTTAAACAGTATCCATATCAAAGAAGTACATGCACTGAATGTAAAATACCATTAAGAAAACCGAAATCAACTGATACCAATGACATAAAACAATTTCAAAAAGAAATGGCAGAAATACTTGAACGAGAATATGTAATAACACCGGATAATTATATCAAAATGCTGTTAGTATGGCTGAGAATTAGTAGTGACGTACCTGTTATCATTATGGGTGAAACAGGTAAAATTTGAAATGAATATTATTAAGTAACACATCTTTAGATCTATATTCGTAACGAGACATCGTAGTAGTAGTACAACCGAAAAATTTGACTGAACTACGATGTTATGTTTAATGTCGCGTACAGACACGGTTTTCTTTTGTTCTTGAATCCAAACCGATACTTTTTTATAGACTCAGATCCGATTTCGATTCAGAACCAAACTAATCAACATTCGGCCGATACATTCACAGTCATAGTACAGCTGCTAAACTCTTACTGTGTATGAGAATGTATACTGTTTTGTTTTCTTCATAAACAGAAACAAGAAAATCAACATCCGTGTTCCTACAAAAAAGACAGTAAGCCAAGTGATTCAGGATTCACTTGGTTCCTTCCTGCTTCTAAAGTCAGATCAATCTGATTAACTATATGTTTGTTTATTGTTGATGAAGCTTGGATGGAACGTAATGTTGCTACCAAGTGTCATACTTGCAGATACTTATATAAACGCTTTTTTCAATAAGGAATACATGTTCACTTTTTTGATAGTTCATTTTTCTTCCAATGCATTTAGGTTCTTCGTCCTATGATTCCTCATTATCTGTGTAGATGAGTTTTCATTAGAAAAAAAGATTCTCTTAGTCATGTAATATTGCTATCCACTTCTATGTCTGTTCATAAATTTTTATATAAATAATAGTTTGAAAAATTAACAATATTGTGAATCATCGTACTATCATTCATGGCTAAATCGAATGCCGGATATGATCTCAAGTTCGAGTCCGACTCGGAATAGTTGGTTTTATCAAACAAACTATACTGCTGATTTTTTCAATGCAAGCTTTTAATTATACTTATAAACTAGAATCCATGGAAGAATCATGTTAGGTTTGAATATACAAAAGAGAGTAGTTCGAAATAACTACGAAATATTTTTCGAGAGTTATTACAAAGAGAATAAATAAAATTTATAATTGGTCTACTAACTATTGAATAATGCTCTTTTTTATGACGTTTTCTCGTCCTCTATTGAAGTATATATTATCAATCATATTATCTTAGGTTGTGGTAAAACAGCATTAATTAACTTTTTATGTCACAAAATTTTGGATGATGAATTATATATTTTTCATGTTCATGCTGGAATTACAAATGTAGATATTACTGATACAATAGGAAATCAAAGCATACGAGCTATTGAACTAGCTAAAGTTGAAAAACGTTTATGGATATTTTTTGATGAGTTTAATACAACAAAGAGTGTTGGATTATTTAAAGAAATAATGTGTGAACGAACATTATTAGGTAAACAATTACCAAGCAATATGGTTTTCTTGGCTGCATGTAACCCTCGTCGACTTAAAACGGAAAAAAATCGTTCTGATGATAATATTGGCATAGAAGGAAAGAATTATGAAAGACAAAAAACTACGTTGGGAAACCATTTATTGTATACTGTAGTACCTACACCAGAAACAATGATCGAATACATATATGATTATGGTCATCTCGATAGTGTTACAGAACGAAAATATATTGAAGCAATTCTTCGAACATGCACAGATTTAGCAAATGAACGACAATTATTCACTACAATGGTCAATGGCGTTTGTCAATCTCAACTTCATTTACGAAGTATCGAAGATGTTTCTAGTGTAAGTCTACGAGATGTAGCACGTTATCGTTTAATATATAATTGGTATTACGATACATTCAATAAACGTGAAAATAACGTATCCAATAGACAAAACATGGTCGAATCAGGTATTTTGGCATTGATGTTATGCTATTACTTTCGCTTACGCTCATCTGCTGAGAAAACTAATTATATCAATATGCTTAAAAAATCAATGTCATTTAATCAAACAAATAACAATTTTATTGAGCAAATATTACAAAAAGAACAAGATGAATTAATAAAACGAATGAAAGAAAAGCCAGTTGGTACAGCAATCAATCGTGCTTTACGTGATAATTTATTTGTTATGTTTGTTTGCATACTAAATCGTATTCCGATTATTTTATGTGGTAAACCAGGCTGTAGCAAGACATTAGCCATTCAAATAATAATAAGTAATTTAAAAGGAAAAAAATCAAATGATTTGTATTTTCAACAATTACCAGAATTAATCGCTGTATCATATCAAGGAACGAAATCATGTAAATCAGAAAGTATTCAATTGGTATTTGAACGTGCTAAAAAATATAGTGATGCTAAAACACAAACAGAATTATTACCAGTTATTGTTTTTGATGAAATTGGTTTAGCTGAATTATCACCATATAATCCACTTAAAGTATTACATAAGGAATTAGAAATTGAAAATTGTAAATACGGTTTTGTTGCTATATCAAACTGGAGATTAGATGCATCGAAAATGAATCGTGCCTTGTATTTAGCCTGTCCGGATCCAACAATTGAAGATCTTCAATTGACAGCAACAACAATACATAAAAGTATAAATGAAAATCAATATATACAATTAAATGATGATATTATGAATGGTTTAGCACATTCATATCTTGAATTATGTTACAAATTGAAGGAAAATCCATCTCATGAAAATTATTTTGGTCTTCGTGACTTTTATTCATTAATAAAAGGTATCGTAAAAGAATTCGATCGTAAATCAAAAGAACTAAAGCAAAACATTGAAAATAAAATTTTGTTTGATATTATTCGTAAACAATTGGCAATTAATTTTGATGGTATTATCGATGGTTCTGAATATATGTGGAAGCGCTTTTGTTATTATACAAAACATGAAGATTTAATTAATCAATATGAGCCACCGAATTTCAAAGAAATATTGAACCATTCCTTAAATGATCGTAGCGGTCGTTATCTCATGTTGATTTCTGATTCTGATAGTCTAATTGATTATATTGAAAGATATTTGAGTAAAATCGCAATTAATATTCGAGAATTAATTGGAAGTCAAATAAAAGATGATCTTAATAGTGAAGCATATGATTATCGTATATTAATGGATGTTATTTTATATGCTGAAAAAACAATAACATTAATAATGCGAAAAATGGATAAATGTTATTCATCATTATATGATTTATATAATCAAAGTTTTTCAATATCTGGACAAAAAAAATATTGTCGTATCGCCTTAGGATCAACATATCATCCAAAATGTTTAGTTAATGACAAATTTTATTGTATTGTGTTAGTTAATGCTAAAGATGTTGAAAAGTCAGATCCACCATTTCTTAATCGTTTCGAAAAACATAAAGTTGAATTTAAAGATTTAATTGAACCATTACATTTAACAATAACACAAAATCTATTATTATGGTTTGAACGATTATTAACTATTAAAATAGGTAAAAAACATTTTATACAATTGCAACATCTATTTGTTAATTTCAATTGTGATTACATATGTAATGTTGTTATTGATGCATTTGAATTAGACCAAAGAGATCAAGATGATGTTATCAATCATTGTAAAAATGTCTTAATGCATTCTGCTTCTTCAGATTTACCATTATTATTATCATTACAAAATGAAAATGACAATAAAGAATATGCACATTTGTGTGAACAATATTATCTGTCAAAAAAGAATTCAACTCTTGAAAGTCTATTAAAAAATATATCATCAAATATGAATCAACATATTATTTATACTTATACACAGATTTATGATAATATTAATTATCCAAAAAATATCAAAATAAATATTGATGAAGTTAAACTTGCTAATTTCAAAACGGAATTAGAATTAATTAATAAAATGAAAGTACATTTTCAAACGAGCACAACGATAAAAAAAACAACAACAGATTCAGCAACAAATATAGATTTATTATTAATCCGTGTCGATTACTATAATGACCGTGATCATATCTTATCGTTAAAACACAATATTGTTAATATTTACAATGAATTTGAAAATAATCAGATTAAACACATTTGGATTATATTTCATTTACAACGAAATATCCTTACTCGTATATCAAATGATGTTTTATTCAATGGATGGTCAAGTATAATGATTGAAAATCTCAATGATAATGAGCAAAAGCAACTTTTACAATATAATGTATTACAACAACCCTCATATCAGTATTTAATCAACGAAAGATTATTTTCTTCACAATTTTATGATTTATTTGACAAATGCTTATCTCAATTTCGTTATAATATCACAAATATCACGAAAAAATATGATATCAATAAAAGACGAAATGAATTATTGCAGCATTTTTATAATGATCAACCTGGTGGTTTAAGTGATATCATGATAAAGAATATAGGTTATCTTATTGAAAATGTTAACGACAAAAGTACTTTTGCTGATTGGAGACTTGATTTAATTACAAATAATACAATAGCAGCTACTGCACGTTCATTTTATGATGCATTTCAAATGACCATCGCTAACTTTTATGAAATGTATTTTCTTTTATTATTTTCAAATTTAGAAAAACAAGCACTTATCGATAGCTATCTATTTATGACAACAAAAATGACAGCTGAAGAACGCAAAACACAAGAATTATACAGACATATATGGTAGGTTTATTCGTAAAGTATTCATTTTCTAGTTATAATAGTGTTGATTGTGGTACACTCCTATTCGATTGTTAAACGTATACTTAATATTTTTTTTCAATATCATTCGTTAACCCTTTCCGGCCGGATGTTGCCATTTGGCAACATTTAGCCAATATTTCTAGAATGGCTTGCTAACAGTAAAGATATAAAACTTTTTAACGATTCGATAATTACTGGAACCCGTTTCAGGATACAATCATGGTTTCCAATACAAAAAGGAACTTTCCGCTGAGACTATAACCGAGTCTATCTACAATATCCCATACAAGTCATTCAACCGTAAACAGCATTTTCCTGCAGATTAACTGATTCAATAC